AGAATTGATTTCTAGGCCTATATGGAATTTTACAAAAATGTTAGAGACACAGATGTTGGGAACTTTGATTATAAAATAGGTAGCCTATGATAATGTTGGTAATGCATGCCAGACCATGCTAAAGCTTCACAGGAGGAGGACTGATGTGAGTTCGTTAAGAATTGTTCAGATATGGACCTAACTTGCACTCAGGGATTATCGATGATGGCTGCCTTACAGGAAATTCAGTTAAAAATAAATCATTCCTTATTTTTAACTGGCACAGGGAGGAAGAAATGCACAGAGCATTCTAGAGGTTGCTTTGGGCATTTTCAGAAAGAGCTCCAGGTCAGACAGAGTCCCAACAAAAGAAAGAATAAGGGATCAGGCTTGTGCCCAAAATACAGCCACAGATTTTTCAGCGGCCCAGAGGGCATAGACGAGCTAAGGCCAAAGTCAGCCATGGCAGCGGCCTCAGTCTGCTGGCCCTCAGCCAGCAGCTTGGTACCACCTCATGCTGGCGTCTGCAGCAGGCTAGACAAAATGGCTGCCGGGGCAGCGGACAGCCTGCCTCCATGTGGTAACATATAGCCTTGGGAGGTGCTGCCATGGTTGATGGCTTATTAATGTATATAAATGCTATTGATACAGCCAGACAGAAACTGTTTTTGAGACTTATAAAGAAGAAAGGACAACATATTTAAGCTTAGAATTGTTCAAATTTTGGATGCTCATATTTCAATGATTGGCTATAGCTGCTATGCTAGAAATTTCAATTAGGGATTTTTCTTTTCAATAAATTGATCATAACCTAAGCAAAAGGAAAAATGTGAGACGTATGCAAGTTATGGATGAACGGTGTGGCCACACCTGGATGCGTGATGTGATTGTCAATTTATGAATTTGGATGAATGAAAATGCCTAAATTGCCTTGGATATGATTAGGGAGATACTTACATTGCCTCAGATATTGTTTAAATAATATCAAAATCACTTTAACATTGCCAAAAGGAGCATCCAATCAGTCAGTCAATGTCTTAGCAGGAAAAATTTTGATTTCAGC